TTGTCATTCTCAAGACTGCTTAAGGCTTCATAGAAATTGTGAACAGGGATGGTGTACTCATCACCTACTGTCACTGGGGTGCTCGGATATCCCCGAATTGTAAGAATGAAGCTGGTTCTGGTTATTCTGAGAACCCCGACCTCTATTTCCTCTCCTGGCTCTGCGGTTGGAACGGCCGCGGAAGGATCTAGAGTACTGGAGGTCATAGAGAGCACTGCATCTATGTGTCATGGCTATGAATTTTGTGGTAAGTACAATAAGGCAAATCGGACTGGTACTTATCAGCATTACGATGCCTCTTAGAGCGACTATCAGGGCAATTTACTGCGATATGTCCATGGTAACCACAATTATAGCAAGTTCTTTGGCTATGGGTACTGTACATGCTACGAGTGCTACGGGAATGATAACGCTTGACACTAGCTTTGGATGACGGTCGCGAGTGATTTAGATCGGGAGTTTTGGTTGTAGCACAAACAAGAGGAGGTACGGGAGTAGTCAAAGTGGTTGATGTAGACCTTCGATAGGGGAAGGTTCCCTCGGGACACAAATTACACACATGGATAAGAGCTGCAAGTGGTCCCATTGTGGCATTTAGAGGACTGGAATTATACACATACACTGACGTTGGTGGCATTAGCTGTTTAATAACTCCAAATACTGCTAATTTGGCAAACCCCTCAAGAGCTGGTTTATCATTGTCTTTAAGGTACTTGGAACTTTGACCTGCCTTAACAAATGAGGTCATGAGGTTATTTAAATGAAGAGCAAACTCATCTAAGGATTCCTCTGGCCTCAGAGCTGTACACACTAATTCCTTAAGAACAACAAAAGGATCAGTTTCTCGTACTGGTTCAAGATAGTTAGGGATTAATTGCTCATAATCTTGCCACTTGGTTAGATCCTGAAAGTCCTTCATACGGATCAAGTTGAAGACATGCGAGGCAGCTGGTGAATGAGCTAAACTCTCCTTTCCGATACTAATTAGGCAACTCTGATGGAGGACCATCTACTGAGGCATTTACTCTAGCACGAACAGCTGTAAACCATCCTTCCAGGTTGTCTGGGTTACCATTGAACAATGGCACAGCATCATAAGGGTCATGACTAAAATTGCGAAGGCTCGAAGTCTGAGTGTGTCTATTGTTTGATAAAGAATTACTCGAATTTGGGACTGATGCATTAATGGTTGGACTAGCAGAATGTGCTGAGGCATCGCTCGAGAAAACTTGAGACATATTTGCAAAATGTAAAACAAGAATTTAGAGAAATAAAAGAAAATATAACTGAGGAACACACAACACAGTAAACTTAAATGGGAAGAAATTACTTGACTATTCTGCATAAGTAAATAAAAATTGACAAATCACACTGTAAGCAAGGAAAACTCACACTCGCAAAAGAAAATACTCAACTGAATAAGCAACACTTTGAAAATCAAGAGAAATTGTACTTTACTCAAATCAAATTTGCTCAAATTTACTTTAAATTGAATTAATGGCACAGTGAGTTGTCTTTACTCTCAATTGAATAAGAAAATTCAACAATAAAATGATAAATCAATCAAAAATGTTAAAATGGAATCAATAAAGCTTGTGCAAAATTAAAACAAACTGGGAAAGCAATTCTAAATAAAAAAGATTAAGTGACACACAGGGAACAAAATATTATGCACAGAAAATGTAAAACTGAAATCACAGAATATTGCACTGAAATAAACTGTAGCAATATTGCAAATAACAATTTCTAATCAGAAGTACTGCACAACACTACATAAAAATTTCTGCAAGAAAAATTTTCATGGCAACACAATGTTTACACAAGAATTTTTGTAAAATGAGTCAATGTTGCAATAATAAAAAAAAATTACACACACAAGAAAATACAGTTTACAGGAAAAAAAAAATCATCATCAAGGAATGAGCTGATTGAACACTTTAACTCTTAATTGCAGCTTAAGCAACACTTACTGAACAAGCAAAAGAATGATTTACTTTAAAAGAAGAACTTAAAAATTGCACTAAGAGTGAATTTGTTCAATAAAATATAAAAATAATAGATTCAAAAACACAGAACAAAAAGGTTTGAACACTTACAGTGATGCAGAACACACATCAATATAAACACAATACAGTGAAACCTCAAGAATCGAACTGCTCCCAACACGATCAGTTATGTAAGTGTATTTTTGTAAGTGCTTTTATAAGTGTATTTTTGAGGGTCTGAAATGGACTAATCTAATTTACATTATTCCTGATGGGAATAAATTCATTCGGTAAAGGCACTCAAACAGCCTTCTGGACCGAAGAAAGTTCAATATTTGAGGTTCCACTGTACTATAATTTTCTTGCAATGAAACTTGAGGTATGAAAAATTTGGAAAATAATTGTCTTGTTTCAACAAAATAATGGCACTATTGTCTGTGGAGATAAGACAAATTAGACACTGGCTACATGAAAAGAATTAACACAAGAATGTTCGACACAGAGAAAAAAAGTAAAATGGCAAATGAATGAAAACAAAAACACCAAGAATACACAAATGCTGGGAGAAAAAATATAACAGACAACACTGAGTTGTGATGCAGAATATAAGGTAATAAATCACTGCAATACTGTGAACACAAGATAATTGTGAAGTGTAAACACAAGTTTATACTGCTTATATATTGCACACAACAAGGAAAAACATTGAAGTACTTCAGGTATATATAAAAAAAAAGAAGCACAACACAACAGACATAAAGCACGAAAATTAACACTGAAGAAAGAGGGAAAAAAAATAATATTGCAAGCAGTATATAATGAACACTGAATCTAATCAAGAGTTACTGAATGTCACTAAGAAATCACTGGAAACACAAAAGAAAATATGTCGCAACACTTACAAATGTCTCTATGAAAAAATATTATTCGTTAACACTGTAGCGACGTTGTAGAATGAGGTGGATAGTAGTGGTGGAGTCTCGTGGCTGGCGGCGATGGCACATCTGACGAAGGGACACTCTTGGCTCTTGACCCCCTATGTGGTTCTTAAAAATGTGATGCTAGAACTCGTAATAAGGGTACAAAAACAGTGGTAGTGGGTGAGGTGGGTGGTTGAGGCAGCGCTGTGGTGAGACACCGCGTGGTGACTGGGCCTATGGGATGAACGGTGTAAGCCACACTGGGGACACCCGCACTAGGCACGAAAATATTCTAAGCCGGGCTGGCTTAAAAACAAACCCATAAACTACCACAACACCACAGGGACGATGAAGCACTCAAACAGCTAGAACTGGAAGCACAAAGCAATGAAGAAGACTGTACCCACGTGGCTTGCTTGAGTATTGGGTTAGTCACCTGGGTTAGTTGCTGGCTGGCTTGGCTTAACCCTTCACACAGACTGGCTTGATAACTTGTAACACAGCAGGGGTGGAAAGCTGGCTTGGCAGGCAAGGCCGGATGGTGTAAGGCTGGCTGGACTGGGCTTGGGCTGACTCCCCCACCACAGACTGGCTTAGGTGGCTTGGCTTACTTTGCAAACCCGGGTCAACCCCTCGGAGGTAATGCAAATAGCAAGATAAACACTAATACACAGAGACTGACCAGTGAATAGTGCAGAGGGCTGGTAAAAGCTTGCTTGGGGTAGCTGGCTTGGGGTTGTTGAGCGTTACTCTTCTCGGGAGGCCTAGCGTTGCAAGATGGCGACCGGCTCGGAAATTTATATCCAGAAATCGCTGTAATCGTCAGAATTACAGGCCCTCCGATGCCACCATTTGTCGTGGGGGTTCGAAAGGAGATATGATGGTTGAAGATAAACACACTTGTGGATGGTAACACTATATATTGTCACTGTGGTAAGGGAGCCCAACCTGCCGTGCGTTGCCTGGTAGACCTATGCGTGGACTGAGGAAGTTCCAGAGATACTCACACACACATGCGCATCACATGATGTCATGATGTCACACAAACTGGTCCCTAGGCCTAGTAAGAGGTCATACCTATAAAACATATGGATGGTACTATGATACTCAGATAAGCTATACAACACATGTAAGGGGGATCAGCAACTATGCTGACATTACCATTATATATTCTGCAACTTGTTAATCAATTCAACTTAATTATAAATTCAGTTACTGCTAAATCACTAACTACCTCTGTTAAAATATAAAAAAACTATGTTCAGTTTGAACCAACTATGATATATATGCCTAGTATTAAGTATAGTCTGCTAAGCATTAGGTTTAGTCTGCCAGAAATGCCCCAGCATGATAGTGGCTCCCTTTGTACTTAGCAAATCAAAACTGCAATTACACTTTGTAAACTATGCAAAGAAATAAAATCCTTAATTAAGGTAGAAGTCAGGGTTTTGTGGAGAAACCCTAAATAATTCATCTGTGCAAAATTCTAGTTAAGAACTACCTGTAGAATTGGACAATTAATCACAGGAGGTTTGTGCACTGGCAATGGAAAAGAAGCGAGTGAAATTCTGAAAGACCAATGTGAATCAAATGTTAATCATCCACTAAATGAAAGTAGGGTGGAGAATGCAGAATTTTTTTTTCATTCCCTCTGAAGACCACACACATCATTTAGCTGACGTAAGCACTAATCCTGCAAAATTCATAAAAGAAATGGACATGGTCACTCACGCAGCCCCTGGACAAGTCTCATAGTATCAGTGTCCCTTCAAGGAATGGTGCCTTGATGCTTGTGAAGGGCTCTTGATCCAAAAAATTAGAGCTACCCTCCCTTCACCGGATCAGACCCGGTTTTCTCGCATTATCCAAGTGTTGTATTATACTTCCAAGTTTAGCACTATCCCACAAGCATAATAATAATCCTTAATCAGTATGACAGACCTGAGCAACCTACTTGGGTTTCAAGTTTTCATGAAGTTGGTAATTAATAATTAATCAATGTGACATAAAGTGAAATATGCAGTTATTTTGAAGATGCTTTCAATATTACTTTTTCATACAAGTTTTATTTTAATTATATTTTCTTGCTTTTCAGTGGTGTTGGGTTAACATTCCTGTTCTCTGCTATAATTATGGCTTGTACTACAGCACTGTTTGTCTTGGGTAGTGCCAGTGAGATTCTGGTGTGTAACCCACTCAGTGATCCCACCAACTCTGAGGTTTTCTCTGTGATTGCTGATCACTATAATCTTAATGACTATTATCCACCTGGTGAAGCACCAAGATTGACTGAAATAATCAGGTAAGTCACTATAATTATTTTGCTGAATCTAGCATAGTCTAGTTGTTATCCTGAGATATAAAATAATTTGGCATTCCCACATAAAACTTTCAAATATATAAATATGGAGAGAATTATTAGTGAATGTTTGTTTCATAATAACTATATTGCTATTTGTAATTATTCATTTCAGTTTGTAGGTGCTTAGCTCTTGCTTATTGTCCTACTTCTGACTTACTGACTTCACATAGCTTTGTCAAATCTAATATTGTATTAAACTATTGTATGGAATCAACTTTCAATGTGTTATTTTTCCAGGTCACTTGACTTCTCAATCACTTGAGTTGAAGATGTTTTGTACACGTGTATGGCTTATTTGCTACTGTATATAGCTTTCATGTTCTGGTCACTTCTTTGGCCAAAAAAAAAAAAGTATAAATCTTGCTGTACTGTCAGTTGTGTGTACTGAAAAGTATCTTGTTTGTTGTTCTTCCAGAGGTAGGAGGCTTGGCTCTCTTGTTCTTTCCTTCTAGCTCATTACTCTTCCTGGCACCAGTCTTGATGCACTACTGGAGACCTCAACTTTTGCTTTGTTTGACTGATAGCCATTACTACACAAGGTCATTTTACCTTGTATTGTTTGCCTTTTTCTTTTAAACAAGAAATATGTTATCCAATAATTTGCCTTTAATGTTTTCTGTGGTTTGTAGTTGCTAGATTAATCTTTCATTATGCACTATGCTCATCCATCTCATTAGATAAACAGTACAGGAATTTATTGATTGAATACAAAATAGTTTGCAAGGGAGCATTTGTCTGTATTGGAAATCAAGTTTTTTTTATCCACTTTTTTCTAATGGCTTTCCATATAATTTCACAATGATAGTCAGCAAGACATGCCTATAGTTCGGGTGACCAGTCTTGTCGCGTTTTGTTAAAAATTAGCACAGTGTATAGTATGCCATTTTTTGTTTTTGTAGTTTACGCTTTTATGGTAAAAACCTGAAAGGTTTTTCCACAGTGAATAATTTGGTTGGTAGAATTCTCTATTACACATGGAGCTATCTTGGAGTTTTGTTGTCCTTCTCTTGTCTATTTAGTGACATCTTTGTAATCACCTTTTTCGAATATTAAAACATTTGAGAGAGCTGGCAGGTGTGACCTAACCCTTCCTAAAACCATGGTGTTAACCTCTGAAGGCATTTTGTTCTGTGTTAAACAGTTCTTTTGTTAATAACTTACACAACAGTTTAGTTTTGTTCATTTCCTCCTCACTCCCCTTCTCTATCATGTTTGCAGTCAGGTACACCTCGCAGAATGAATAGTTATGTAGTAATTGAAATTGGCGTTTAATGTAATTTTGCACTATTTGAAATTATATTTTCAATTGTTATGAAGCCACTAGGGAAAAAATATCAGTCTGTCAAATATTTTTTAAAAATTTTGTGTAGAGACCGATGTGGCTCATGAAGCACTTGGTTCATGACTTTAAATATGTGAATTAAATACTGTATATTTCTGCTGTATGTAGACACTTTAATTTCTCATTACAGTGTGTGTTTGTTGAGAAGTTTTACTGTATGTTTACTACTGTTAATATATTCCTTATATTTCCTCAGCAAATGTCACAAAAATCAAAGTCTTTACTCAGTGCTGAGTTTAGACAATGTCGACAGCATCCTTGTCAAACTCCAAGACTACAAGAAACGGCTCAACCTTGATGAAAAGGTTGGTCTTGTATTACTGTAGTGAAATTTACCATGTTTTACTGCGAGTTCCCACTTGTTTTTTCAGTAATTTTTAATGTTCTTTCATCCTTAACCCTCTGACTGTTTTGGTTGTATATATACGTCTTACGAGCCAGTGTTTCGGACGTATTAATACGCATAATTTCTAGCACCTTCAAATCAAGCAGGAGAAAGCTGGTAGGCCCACATGTGAGAGAATTGGTCTGTGTGGTCAGTGTGCACCATATAAAAAAATCCTGCAGCACACAGTGTGTAATGAGAAAAAAAAAAAAACTTTTTTTTTGGATTAAAACTCCAACTTTGAGGTGTATTTTCGTATAGTATTTATCATTGTATTCTCGTTTTCATGGTCTCACGTGATAAAATGGAAAACATATTACAGAAATAGAGATGATTTTGATTAGTTTCACGAAAATGACCTTGAAATTGAGCTCAAAGTAGCGGAAATGTTCGATTTTTGCCAGTGTTCAGGAGTAAGCAAATCACACCAGACGTCCAATACACATCAACTGGGGAGTTTAATATTCTTTAACTAGTGCACTGATATTATTTATACAATTTTTACAATAATGCAGTAGTCTGCATAACAGTAAATTTTGTATTTTTTGTATGAATAAAAAACAAAATAGAAAGCAATAGTAATATAAGAGGGGCCTAGAGACATGACTAATGAATAGAGGATTTGTTATTTTAATGCCAAGAATGTCTGCATTGTTTATTCTGGACCCTATTTTGAAATTGGCATCTTTTTTAATTTGCATGAAATTGACCAAATTGCCAATTTCTGACCACTTTATTGGGTAGTTCAGATCGGTAAATGGACGGTTTCTTGTACAGTAGGGCCACGTTTTACGGTGTTTTGCTTTACGGCATTCCTCTAATACTGTCATTTCAAATTCCGACCAAAACTCGCTATACCGCTCCCCCCACCTGACTTTCTAATACGGTCACCGCGCCCCACCCGGTTTATTTACATTCTATGTGAGATCCGTAACCACTAAGTCTCTCCATTATGTCTGGAAACTCCAAAATTTCAAGTGCTTTTAAAAGTTATTTCATATTTTATATATACTCTGATAATTATACTTATGTATACCTGTACCTAAATGAACTTACATACTGTGCTGGTGTTCAGGTACACATTAAAATCAGTAAGAGTGTCTTATATCTCGAGCCCTCATATTAGTAATGACAATAATAATCACCTAGTCTCATTTAAATATCGTATACAGTGGACCCTCGACTAACACTATTAATCCGTTCCTGAGAGCTCATCGTTAGTCAAAATAATCATTAGTCAAGTTAATTTTCCCCATAAGAAATAATGGAAATCAAATTAATCCATGCAAGACACCCAAAAGTATTGAAAAAAAAAATTTTAACACATGAAATATTAATTTTAATACACACAAACTGAAGAAGACATGCACAGTTACAGGACACTTACCTTTATTGAAGATCTGGTGATGATTGATGGGATGGGAAGAGGGGAGTGTGTTGATGGTCTTAGTGTTTAGAAGGGGAATCCCCTTCCATTAGGACTTGAGGTGGCAAGTCCTTTTTCAGGGTTACTTCCCTTCTTTTAATGCCACTAGGACCAGCTTGAGAGTCACTGGACCTCTGTCGCACAACATATCTGCCCATAGAGGCCTGTACCTCCCGTTCCTTTATGACATTCCTAACGTGTTTCACAACATTGTCAGTGTCACCATTAAACACTTGTTCAGGTTTCAGTCCTTCACTGTCTATGTACTCCTTGAATTCCTGCACATACTTTTCAGCTGCTTTTTGGTCCAAACTGGCAGCCTCACCATGCCTTATCACACTTTGTATGCCACTACGATTCTTAAATCTCTCAAACCAACCTTTGCTGGCCTTAAATTCACTCGCATCACCACTAGTTGCTGGCATTTTTCTAATTAAATTGTCATGCAACTTCCTAGCCTTTTCACATATGATCGCTTGAGAGATGCTATCTCCTGCTATCTGTTTTTCATTTATCCATACCAATAACAGTCTCTCAACATCATCTATCACTTGCGATCTCAGTTTCGAAAACATAGTTGCACCTTTGGCAAGAACAGCTTCCTTGATTGCCGTTTTCTTGGCCACAATAGTAGCGATGGTTGATTGGGGTTTTGTGTACAGCCTGGCCAGCTCGGAGACATGCACTCCGCTTTCATACTTAGCAATGATCTCTTTCTTCATATTCATAGTAATTCTCACTCTTTTTGCTGTAGGGTTGGCACTAGAAGCTTTCTTGGGGCCCATGGTGACTTATTTTGCGGGTGCAATCACTAAAAAGGCTGTGATAATATGAAATGTTCCGATTGTATGCTTGGAAGCGACCGTGGTGGCTGGCTGGCTTGTAAACACTGGCCAGAAGTGGACGCGTCTCAGACGGAAGGAATAGTGTTGGTCGAGTTTTTTTAGCGCTAATCGAGGCAAAATTTTTGCGATAAAATGTATCGCTAGTCAGATTTATCGTTAATCGATGCCATCGCTGGTCGAGGGTCCACTGTATTACGTTAATACAGTGGACCCCCGGTATTTGATGGCATCGGTATTCGATAAATCCGGTATTCGATGCATTTTAATGCAAAAATTTTGCCTCGGTATCCGATTGAAAACCTGGTATTCGATACGATTCGTACGAGACGTGTCCACATGTGGCCTGAACTGCCCCTTGTGTGCCAGTGTTTACAAGCCAGCCAGTGTGCGCGCATCTAAGGATACATTCGGTACATTCCATATTATCCATATTATCACTGTTTTTGGTGCTTGTTTCTGCAAAATAAGTCACCATGGGCCCCAAGAAAGCTTCTAGTGCCAACCCTGTGGTAAAAAGGGTGAAAATTAGTATGGAAATTAAGAAAGATTTTGAAGGGTTTGGGGCTAACCCTGAGAAGCCTATGCCAGTTGTGGAATCCATTGTGCCTACTTCAAAAATTAAGGAAATGTGTGCACAGGGGTTGAAGTGCAAACCTTTATGGATGAAAATCACCCTAACACAGCTATTGCAAGCCGTGCTGGTGACTATTACAATGATAATGTTGTGGCCCATTTTAGACAAATCGTAAAGGAACGGGAGGTACAGAGCTCTATGGACAGATTTGTTGTGCGACAGAGGTCCAGTGACTCTCAAGCTGGTCCTAGTGGCATTAAAAGAAGAAGGGAAGTAACCCCAGAAAAGGACTTGCTACCTCAAGTCCTAATGGAAGGGGATTCCCCTTCTAAATACTAACACCATCCACACACTCCCCTCCTCCCATCCCATCAACCATCACCAGATCTTCAATAAAGGTAAGTGTCATGTAACTGTGCATGTCTTCTTCAGTTTGTGTGTATTAAAATTAATATTTCATGTGGTAAAATTTTTTTTTTTTCATACTTTTGGGTGTCTTGCACGGATTAATTTGATTTCCATTACAGTGGACCCCCGGTTAACGATATTTTTTCACTCCAGAAGTATGTTCAGGTGCTAGTACTGACCGAATTTGTTCCCATAAGGAATATTGTGAAGTAGATTAGTCCATTTCATGCCCCCAAACATACACGTACAAACGCACATACATAAATACACTTACATAATTGGTCGCATTCGGAGGTGATCGTTATGCGGGGGTCCACTGTATTTCTTATGGGGAAAATTGATTCGCTTTTCGATATTTTCGGTATTCGATGAGCTCTCAGGAACGGTTTAATATTGAATACCGGGGGTCCACCGTATACACATTTTCATTAATCCATCAATGACATTTTTTCAAAATTATATAATAAACACGATGCATAACATATAAAGATGATAAATACACCCCACAGTAGAATAAATAAACATAAATATGAGATGTGGTAGCCAGACGACTTGCACAAATGACGCCATATTAGAAATGATGATGATAATAATAATAATACTCACCGAGTCTCATTAAATATCGTATATTAAGTTAATATACACATTTTCATTAATCCATTCATGATATTATTTTCAAAATTTTATAATAAACACGATACATAATGATTTCTCAGGGATACTAATCTTACAGAGAATAACTAAACAATGTCCAACCTAAAAGCCTACGTAGTGTAGTGTATGTTTTGCTCCATTATTGTTCAAATTTCATAGTACAATCTCTTAGTAATTAAATAATCAACTACCTCATTATGTGATTTTACTAGTAAGCATAAGTCACCTTATGTAATTTTCTTATTTACTATTGTTTGCTTAAATATTAGCTGAATTGATACTTCCTCTCTCCATATTACTACCTCATATTTTTTAAATACTATTAATTGATATTACTTACTAAAATTAATAATTTATTACCATTTGTACTATCAGTACAATTTACTCTTAACATTTTTGACATTTAATTACCATTACTTGTCTAATTACCATAACCTGTTTTAATACCACATTTACTATCTTAGAGTATACTTAACCCTTAAATGGTCCAAACGTATATACAGCAGGGCCCCGCTTTATGGCGTTTCACTTTACGGCATTCCGCTAATACAGTCATTTCAAGTTATGACCAAAACTCGCTATACGGCTCCCCCCACCTGACTTTCTAATACGGTCACCGCGCCCCACCCTGTTTGTTTACATTCTTCGTGAGCTCAATAAGCACTAAGTCTCTCCATTTTGTCTGGAAACTCCAAAATTTCAAATGTTTTTAAAAGTTATTTCATATTTTATATATACTCTGATAATTATATTTATGTATACCTGTACTTAAATAAACTTACATACTGTGCTGGCATGCAGGTACACATTAAAATCAGTAAGAGTGTCTTATGTCTCCAGACGTCATATTAGTAATGATAATAATAATCATCGAGTCTCATTTAAATGTCGTATATTACGTTAAATACACATTTTCATTAATCCATCTATATTTTTTCAAAATTATATAATAAACACGATACATAACATAAAAAGATGATAAATACACCCCACAATAGAATAAATAAACATAA